AAAATGAATTAATAATTCAAATTAGTTAAAATTTTCACTAATTCAAATTTAGATCAGAAGAGAATACAAATGTTAGTTTCAGGAAACTATTCCCTTGTTCTCAATATTAAATGCAAGAGAAAGAGAGATAAATAAATTCTTTTTCATCTCTCCCCCTTGGCAATTGATATATATACGTAATGCTAATCGCTTTTCTCTGCAAAAAAAAAAACAGCGATGGAAATCACTTCCTGATTCTGTCTACAGAATCAAGTCATACTCTCCACGATGGAATTTTCAGTATTAAAGAAAAATGACTTTTAAAAATTACATGCCCCGATTTTGCACTTTGATTATGTTGTAAAACGACGAGATTATAATTTCAAAGTACCCGCCCAACATATCATCGATATATATCTATATATATATATATATCCCGAGTGTATAGCATAATTCATGATGGATATTTATCATTCATTCATTGCGATCAATGTGATTCAACTTCTTATATTCCTGTTATGGTTTTCTCGTTCGACAAACTTACAGAACGATCCAGTTCTAATTACAAAGTAAAAAAAAAAAAAAAAGAATTGATTGTGATTAACGAGGAATTAACGATTGCTTCAATTACAAAGCGTCAAGGAAATCGTTTTCACGTAATTGAGAAAATTTTTTTTTCATTTTGTAAATAAATATTTTTTTTTATAAAAACTTTTTCTTTCTAAAAAATTAATTTTTTACAATTATCAATTAATTATATCTTATATTATTATAATAATAAATAAGGTAATATTCTATTCTAACGGTTAAATAAATAACAATTTTACAGCAAATAAAAAATACATTTATACATACTAATAAATATAATTAATATCCATAAATAGCAATTAAATAATCCCAGTTGTATATATGTTATTATATATGATTCACAGAAGACAATTTTTTTTTCTCTTGTCACAAAGAAAAAATAAATATGTGGGAACTAGTGTTCAATGTAATTTGCATGTATAAATTTGTAAATGACCTATGTCATATTGATGTACATTGTTATAGACATGAGAGTAAGTGAAAAAAAAGAGGACTAGCCTTCTTATTATATACATATGAATATTAATGGATTGACAATAAGTCTCTCTAATGCATCATTATCATCAACTCTCATATTATGTTAAAGAGAAGAGAGAGAAAAAAAAAATTATGATATAAAAATTGCAATTGTAATGGCAGGTGGATCGTTGACTTACCTTGAACCTCCTTAATTACTCATTTTACCGTAACGTATGAAACAAATATATATATATACGGGATTTCTGTTCGATTGTGTCACGCAAAATAGACACGTTTCACAAACAAACGGAAATACAATAAATTACAAATTCTAACTATACTTATTATAACTATAATTATATCTAAATACAATTATAAAAAACCACTGTAAAAATTTAATAATATTGATATGAATAAAGAATACCTTTTTTCTTATTCTCTTTCGATTATTATTATTATATTATTACTATTTATATTACTAAATAAAAAATTATTACTATTATTATTGTTATTTTTTATTATTATTATTATTATTATTATTATCATAGTCTCTCTAACAATTATAACGGAAATATTGAAACTACTATTGAAAAAGAAGTAATCGTCTTTTACTTTTTTTGCAAATCTTTCTCTCGAGATTAATTCCAATTAGTATATATTTATAGTGAGCTTTGATTTTTCATGAAATTCATAGAAAAATATTTGTTAAACCCCTTTTTAATTAGGCGTTCAATTATTATTATTATTATTATTTAATGAAAGTTGATTTATAGGTAAAAAAAAAAAAAGTTAACAGACTATTATCTCATGTTATATGAGGCAAATTTTATTATTATATATTTAATTTTTTTTGTCGTTTTTTTTTTTTTTTGCTAAATAGAAAAATTATATTATAATGAAAATTTATGAAAATAAAGGAAATCGTGTTTTTAAGGACAAAAATTTGTAAATTTTACCCGCATGTTATAAATCATTGTTAATAATCTTGACATAGAATATTGAGGACGGAATAGTAAATAAAAAAAAAAAAAAATTGTTAACACGGAGGAACACGTGATAAGTCAATCGTGAGAGGTCTATATATATATATATATATAATATATACAAGACCGATAAATTACGAGAGTACAATCTCGACCCCGCAAATTGCTGATCGGTGTTGTGTGTGCGCGACCATAATTGGTTCCTGTGAAATACCGCTGACAACCCTTTTATTTAACAACTTCATTGGAGAGATTTAATTAAAACATTGTTTAAAAAAACATATGAAAAAAAATTAATGACTCTAAAAACTATATAATTTATCCTTAGCAAACGTTGCTAAGAAAAAAAACCTTAGTAACACCTGATATGGTACCAGTTGCTGTGGTACTTTGTAACTTTTTGTGGTACCACTTGCTATGGTACCACTTTCTGTGGTACCAGTTGTTGTGGTACCAGTAGCTGTGCTACCAGTTACAATGGTAGCAGTTGCTATGGTACTACTTGCTGTGGTACTAGTTACTGTGGTACTTTGTAACTTCTGTGGTACCAGTTGCTCTGGTACTTTGTAACTTCTGTGGTAACAGTTATTGTGGTATCACTAGCTATGGTACCAGTTGTTATGGTACCAGTTGGTTTGGTACTTTGTAACTTCTTTGGTACCAGTTGCTGTGGTACTAGTTACTGTGGTACTTTGTAACTTCTGTGGTACCACTTGCTGTGGTACCAGTTGCTGTGGTACTTTGTAACTTCTGTGGTACCACCTTCTGTAGTAACAGTTATTGTGGTATCACTAGCTGTGGTACCAGTTGTTATGGTACCAGTTGGTTTGGTACTTTGTAACTTCTGTGGTACCAGTTGCTGTGGTACTTTGTAACTTCTGTGGTACCAGTTGCTGTGGTACTTTGTAATTTCTGTGGGACCAGTTGGTGTGGTACTTTGTAACTTTTGTGGTACCAGTATTTGTGGTACTTTGTAACTTCTGTGGTACCACTTTCTGTGGTAACAGTTATTGTGGTACCACTTGCTGTGGTACCAGTTGCTATGGTACTTTGTAACTTCTGTGGTACCAGTTGCTGTGGTATCAGTTGCTATGGTCCTTTGTAACTTCTGTAGTACCAGTTTCTGTGGTACTTTGTAACTTCTGTGGTACCAGTTCCCGTGGTACCAGTTGCTGTGGTACTTTGTAACTTTTGTGGTACCAGTTGCTGTGGTACTTTGTAACTTCTGTGGTACCAGTTGCTGTGGTACTTTGTAACTTCTGTGGTACCACTTGCTGTGGTACCAGTTGCTATGGTACTTTGTAACTTCTGTGGTACCACTTGCTGTGGTACCAGTTGTTGTGGTACCAGTTGCTATGGTACTTTGTAACTTCTGTGGTACAACTTTCTGTGGTAACAGTTATTGTGGTACCACTTGCTGTGGTACCAGTTGTTGTGGTACCAGTTGCTATGGTACTTTGTAACTTCTGTGGTACCAGTTGCTGTGGTACTTTGTAATTTCTGTGGGACCAGTTGGTGTGGTACTTTGTAACTTTTGTGGTACCAGTATTTGTGGTACTTTGTAACTTCTGTGGTACCACTTTCTGTGGTAACAGTTATTGTGGTACCACTTGCTGTGGTACCAGTTGTTGTGGTACCAGTTGCTATGGTACTTTGTAACTTCTGTGGTACCAGTTACTGTGGTACCAGTTGCTATGGTCCTTTGTAACTTCTGTAGTACCAGTTTCTGTGGTACTTTGTAACTTCTGTGGTACCAGTTCCCGTGGTACCAGTTGCTGTGGTACTTTGTAACTTTTGTGGTACCAGTTGCTGTGGTACTTTGTAACTTCTGTGGTACCAGTTGCTGTGGTACTTTGTAACTTCTGTGGTACCACTTGCTGTGGTACCAGTTGCTATGGTACTTTGTAACTTCTGTGGTACCAGTTGCTGTGGTACTTTGTAACTTCTGTGGTACCACTTGCTGTGGTACCAGTTGTTGTGGTACCAGTTGCTATGGTACTTTGTAACTTCTGTGGTACAACTTTCTGTGGTAACAGTTATTGTGGTACCAGTTGCTATGGTATTTTGTAACTTCTGTGGTACCAGTTGCTGTGGTACTACTTGATTTGGTACCAGTTGCTATGGTACCAGTTGGTGTGGTACCAGTTGCTGTGGTACCAGTTGTTGTGGTACTACTTGTTGTGGTTCCACTTTCTGTGGTACCAGTTGGTGTGGTACAACTAAAATTATCATTTTTAAATGTCAATCAGAAGATATAATGAGATAAGAAATAATAGATATCTAAGATAAAATTTTAAATAAAATTATAATTAAAGCTACTTAAACTAAAGTTTTTATTGTCTAAAGTTACTAATAATTTTTGAATTATTTATTAATTACTATTGCCAATGACTAATTTTTAATTAATATATAATAATTTTAATATAATGAAATTAACATTTTGTAACAATTAAATAATAATTAATTATTTCTTGATTACTATTTGGCTATAGGTAATTATATAGTATAGTATAGTGAAATGGAATGATGATGATGAAAAATAATACATTTCTTTTGGCTTTAGATATTTGTTGCAGGTATAAAATAACACATGCTTTGAAATTGTAAGAAACATGTTGATTTAATTAGTTGTTCCTCATATATACTAATTGGCAGTGAAAGATTTCTTAGTTTAATTGCAACTGTCACTCGTAGAGGCAGTTCCGTGAAACAGGTACATTATAAATTTACATCGCATACCAAAAGATTTGTTTTTTTTTCTTCTTTTTTTTTTACTCACACAAAAACAAATTTATTTTCTGTTACTAATTTATATATATATATATATATATATATATATATATATGAATTTGCATTAATTTCTCGTTAGTTCTAATCATATAAATTTAATTTCGCTATAACGATAATTAAAATTAATTTTAAACAATAAAATATGTAATTGTTGCAAAATATGGTAAAGTTTTATAAATTTTTTTTTATTGTTTGTTTCAGATGTGGAATTTGAATCGAAACACCTGCCTGCATATGAGGTGAGAGTTTTTATATGATGATTTCTTCATTTTCTCTTATACATATTGCTTCTTTATTTTGTTTAATTTTCATTCACTTTCTGTTTTTTTTTCTTTTTTTTTTAATGTTCTTTTTTTATTATTTATTTATTTTTTATTATTTATAAAAATTTCATTTTCATTATATCTAATAAATAAATTTCTAATATACTTTTATTAACCTTCAATTATTATTATTATTATTTTAGATTCAATTAATTTTTCATAGATGATTTCTCCTATCAAGTGAAATTTAATTTAACCTAATGAATTTTTCATCTAATAAAAAAGTAAATTTTACTTACATAAAAATACTCAATATATGTATACATAAAGTATACAATTTATTATATATATATATATATTTATATTTCTTTTACTGGGGGGAAAAAAATCTTTTAATCTAATCGACAAGACTTTTTTTTATTTATATATATAAATTTCAACTTTTTGAACCACTTGTTATATCAATAATATATCGATATTCATTAATCAATAAAGATAATTGCACTTAAAGTCGCAGACAGATTGTTCAGAATTTGACGTTTTGCTTTCTCTCCTGTAAACGCGATCATATTGTCGTCAGAGTAGAGTGAGTGAGTGAAAGATGTCTTATCGTTGTAAAGAATCAAAAAGTGAAAGAGACGTTATAATCGCATGATTGCACTATATATATATATATATATATATATATATATGTTAAAGGTAGATTAGCACAGTTTGTATATAAAATATAATTTAAGGTGCATTGAAATAGTAGTAATTTATTTTATATATTATTATAAGAATCGTGTTCTCGCATTTTATAAATTATTAGAGGCTCATCTCTAAAGTGTTTTGATTCACCAACAGTATAAATTATATCTAAATTAAGGGCAATCACACCGAGTAATAATATAATTATTATATACCCTTCAATAAAATTATCATTTCATTCACGAGACACGCAAAAGTTAAATATTATATACAATATTTATAATATTTATATGCCAACATTAATATAATAATAAAAAAATAATAATAATAATAAGTAACATAATTATAATATATAATATAATATATATTTTGTATTATATATTATAATAAAAAATTGTCTGGATTAAAAAAAAATTGATTTCATCCTCTTTTAAAAGAATATGCCATCACAGTTCATCGATCGTGGGATACTGAACTATTGCATTGATCGACAGTCAAAGTGATCGATCATTTTATGACAATTTAATAGGAGAGGATTGGTCAAGCACATTGTTCTATAAATCTAATCCAAAATAGATTTGCACTTTATTGAATTAAATTAACTTCTTTTTAATCTGAATTAGATTTGCATTTTATAGAATTTTCACCAGACAAGATACTATACAGGGCGATATTGTTTAAACAAATTATTATTGTTATTTATCAATTTTTTTTCCCAGCAGAATGATAATTATTGCAATTTATCGATTTATTTAATAATTTCTCTAAAAATATAACATAAATAATAAAAATATATTTCTTTAAATAATTGTTTAAAGAAATAATTGGCGTTAACTTATTTTTTTTTTTTAAACAATTGATGAAGTAATGGCATTTAATATTTATTCTCTTTTATATACTTAACACGGTAAATTGCAAAATATGAAATTAAAATTGAAAAGTAATTAAATAATAACAATTATTTGTTTAAACAATTTTTGGAATAATAATTGTATATATGTTCTTTATCTGTTATTTTTTTACCTTCGATAAATTGCAAATTTAGGTATAAAAAATGCACTTTTTCTAGGTACACTAAAGTTAATATAAATAGCAACAATTATTTGTTTAAACAATTTTGAATAATAATTGTTGCAATTTAATTCTATATTTTATTTATAATTTTTAAAAATAATAACTGCTACGAAAAGTTGAATTTATAGAAATATTATATATTTAAAAATATTTTTAATTATTAATAATAAATTGTTTAAACAAATAAATATGGACGAAATAATTTTTATTTAAATTAAATAAATTGTATTTGAACTAATAATTTATGTATATATGAATAAATAAAATTTAATTTAATTCAAATTAAAAATATTAAAAATTATTTCGTTCAAATAAATATTTATTTGACAATAGTCAAACCAACCGATTATTTGAATCAAATAAATTTTTTTTTTTTTGTCAATCTACGTGGGTTTAAATATATACAGAAAACAGCGCGCAAATTCTGTGCAAAGAATATTAAACGCAAAACTATATATATATGTTTTTTGAATCAATTGCAAAACACATCATATATATACACGAGACCAAAGAGACACGCCTAGCATTGTTATGAATATGTCAGGTCAGCAACAGTAACAGGAGTGTATCATCGACACAATTCCTCACTCCCTTTAATATATATTTAAACCAATCCTATATAAGATATAAAATTCATTGTGAAATAATTCAAAATAATAAATTTCATATATCCAGAATACTGATATCGAGATGATTCTGAATTTTTTACATATAAAATTTTGTAATAACTATCTCATTATAATGCAAATGAATTTCCAATAATTTCACTCTGTTACAATAACAATATAATGAAAATAGATATTTATTGTCCCCCTCACGTGTATCGTATATATTTATATGTAAATCGTAAACAAGAGACAATAAAAAATAATTAGAATTTCACAATATTCAATTTGCATTCGTGACTGTTAAAAAAAAAAGAAAAAAATTTTTTTTTTTCTTAAAAGAAAAGTGTATACCATTATACAATAATTAAATCATACGATTTCATGGTCCTTTACGTAATAAAGAAAATCATAATATTTATTTAAAGTTTACATCATAAATAATTAGTATGGTATAACTTCATAATAATATGATAGTTCATATATATATATATATATATATAATTTTCAACAGTTAATTTACAAATCGTTGAGCATATTTTCACTTAAAGAAACGAAGAAAATTTGATAAAAAAATACTGTTAACAAATTTATCGTATGTTTAAATCAATTTTTATTATATATAAAAGAGATTTGCGCCCAAGATTCTGTGATTGACAGTAATAAATGCTGAATCGATTGTTAGAAATGTGTTATGGCGCCTTTGAAATAGAAAAATTCATCTCGTTATATGCCAGTAACCTGCTACTCGAATTCGATTCAACTTGATAGATGGAAATCACCGACAACAGGCATAGTGGTAGTTCAAGCGATGCAAATCACTCACAGCTTATTGAATATCGTTTTATCAAATCGAAAAAAAAAAATCCTCCCCATTCACCATATTTGAGTTGCAAAAACGATCTTTCTCGCAATTATAATTCTCATTAAATTACGAAATCAAATAATTGCTACGAAATATATTAAATAATTTCAATTCTAATAACAAAATTCTAATTTTCACAAAATTTATTCATTTTGGAATTATTTCTTTGAAAAAAAAAAAATGAATGTCCCCTCAGATTCGTTTAAATTTTAATGTGAGAATATAAATTTTGTTTATCAATAATAATGATCATCACAATTTCATTTATCATAATTAGATTGTTGAGAAGGAAATCTATTACTGCAATTAATTATTATTAAAATTTTAAATATATATTTATAAAATTTTCAAAACGTAAATATCATTAAACTGACGTGAAACTGCACGTAAACTTTAAGTATATATTATATATATATATATATATATATATATATATATATATATACCTTTACAGTACTAAAGATCATTGCACGAAGATGCTTTAAATGTCAAGGCGAGGACACGGTTTGGTGTCAAAGATCCACTGGTTTCGATCCGCCTACGCGACTATCATTCCATTAAAGGATACTTAATACATAGTTCAAGATATGACATTATAATGGCTTATTAACAAAAGATATATTATTAACTTTATTATAATATGTATCATAAGTATAACAGAAAAGTTCAATATTATTATGATTATGGAAATAATAGTAATAATAATAATAACACGAAATAATATGAAAATAATTTCCAATGACTTGTAATTTTCATTGATTTTTTTTTTTAATTTTCAATGATTTGTAATTTCTATTGATTGTACTATAATCTACAATTCAGAATTATCATCGTCAAGATTATGATTATTACGTTAGTAATAAAGTCTTATAAATAATAAATTAATTTAAATAATAATACAATTATAAATTTTTATGTAACTTTATAATAATTATATGAAAATTTTAAAGTATTTTAAATTTCGCGCCATTATCCCTGATTATCAGATTCATGGAAACAGTTGATATGGCACCAGTTACTATGATACTGGTTACTATGGTACCAGTTACTATGGTACTGGTTTTTCTATGGTACCGGTTACTATGGTAATGGTTACTACGATACCGGTTGGTACCGCTTAATATGGTATTAGATGGTACCGGTTACTATGGTATTGGTTACTATAATACCTGTTGGTACCGGTTTCGCCATGGTAACGGTTACTATGGTACCAGTTTCGCTATGGTACCGGTTACTATGGTACCGAATACTTTGGTACCGGTTTTGCTATGGTACCGGTTACTATGGTACTTGTTACTATGATACCGGTTGGTACCGGTTACTATGGTACTGGTTACTACGTTACCGGTTGGTATCGGTTACTATGGTACCAGATAGTTTGATACCGGTTTTGCTATGGTACCGTTTACTAAGGTTCAAGTCATTATGGTACCGCTTTTGCTATGGTACCGGTTACTATGGTAATGGTTACTATCATACCGGTTGGTACCGGTCAGTATGGTACTGGATGGTACCCGTTACTATGGTACTGGTTACTACAATACCGATTGGTACCGGTTACTATGGTACTGGTTACTATAATACCGGTTGGTTCCACTTACTATGGTACCAGTTAATATGATACCGGTTACTATGGTACCAGTTACTATGGTACCGGTTTCGCCATGGTACCGGTTACTATGGTACCAATTACTATGGTACCAGTTTCGCTATGGTACCGGATACTTTGGTACCGGTTTTGCTATGGTACCGGTTTTGCTATGGTACTAGTTACTATGGTAATAGTTACTACGATACCGGTTGGTACCGCTTAATATGGTATTAAATGGTACCGGTTACTATAATTCCGGTTGGTACCGGTTACTATGGTACTGGTTACTATAATACCGGTTGGTACCGGTTACTATGGTACTGGTTACTACGTTACCGGTTGGTATCGGTTACTATGGTACCAGATAGTTTGATACCGGTTTTGCTATGGTACCGTTTACTAAGGTTCCAGTCATTATGGTACCGCTTTTGCTATGGTACCGGTTACTATGGTAATGGTTACTATGATACCGGTTGGTACCGGTTAATATGGTACTGGATGGTACCGGTTACTATGGTACTGATTACTATAATACCAGTTGGTACCGGTTACTATGGTACCAGATACTTTGATTCGTAGTAAAATTTAGAAGAAACAGATTTAATTTTACTAAAACTCTATTTTTCCAGAATTTAAAAATAACGGAAGTTTAAATTTTCTTTTTTTTTGTTCCGAGGGGAAGTAAAAATAATTTTCATTTCATTGTTCCAGGATTCGGTAGCGGCTGCCTCGGATGTTGAGGAAGCCTACGATGATGGCGACGACTCTGACATGTTTATGGAACCAGACGAAATGGAACCAAGCGAAAGTCAAACAACAAATCAAGAATCATTAAAATCAATATCAAAAATTGATGGTCCTGAACAAATAACAGTAATTGAGGAAGAAGAAGAAGAAGAATCAACAACAACTGTTCGCAGTGATGAAAAAATTAATCCCCAAATTCGCAATGGTCATCAACAATCAAAGGAACAGGTTCCAGCATCAACAATATTGAATGTAAAATCAAACGAACCTACTGTCAGTGTAGTAGCAACTGTTTCTCAAGAAAGTGATTTTAACAATAAAAATAATAATGACAAAAAAGAAGAAAACGATTCATCGGAAAAAAATCTCGAGACAGATAGTCAAAATTTCTTCCCTTCATTTGCTGAATTATTCACAAATCATCGACTTCCCTATACGGAACATCAACAACGTTATAGACCAAATCGATTTTTAGGTTATTTCCAACGTGACAGAGGTAATAATTATCAAACAGCAGCATCATCATCATCATCCTCATCATCATCGTCACAACAAAAAGAATCTCTTCATCCATTACTTGGTTCGGGTAATTTTGGTGTTATTCGAGGTGGAACATATTATCCTGAGGATAAAGAAAATGATGAATATTCAATTGATGAATCAATTTATAATCCCTATTATCATGGCAGTGGTCGTAGTCGACATAATTATTATAAAAATCCAAAACCACAACCAGTGCGTGGTGGTGATTTCTTTGCTAATTTCCGTGATTTTGCTGATATTACAGCGCCACCAAAATCAAGTTTTTCACATTTATCCGTTGTTTATGCAAATAAAAATGGTAGTAGTACAGCGCGCGTCAATGATCAACCGAGAAATATTTTTGAAACATTGAGAATGTTAGAGGAGGAGGAATTTAATGCATCAACAATAACAACAACTGAACAACCACAGAAAAAGCTAAGTCAGGGTAAAAGAAAATTAATGAAAATGAAAAAATATCAAGATGAAAAAGCCAGGAAGTCACGCATGACAGTGGAACCTCTTTTGGCACTTAGTTGAATATTTGCGTTAGGTGAATAACTTTTTTTTTTTTTTTTTTTTTGGTAATACAAAAAAAAAAGTGTACAAAAAAAAAAGTGTTGTGAACGCTTTGGGAGTTATCCCAATTAAAAAAACAAAAAAAGAGGAAGAAGATGAAGAAGAAAAGAAAATGAATCTGGCCATGAGATCAGAACCAAAGTCTGAGTTAAATAAAGCGTCGTCATAAACTATATATTGTTGGGGGAAAAAAAAAAAAGAAGGAGATACCTGACGAGATGTGAGAAGGACCTAAGATTATATTTGTGAGATGAGAGTCAGTTTTTCCCTCGCGCATCAAATTTGAGACACACTGGATTTTTAAGATCATACCGGAGGAAATTTCAATTTTATTATTTTTCCAAAAGATCTTTTTTTTCTAAATCATCAAATTTTTTTTTTAGATTTTATTTTTTGAATTATCGGCTGAATTTCAATTTTTTTCCAAAAAAAAGAAAAATAAAGAAAGAAATTTTTAAATCAAGAAACATTGAAGAAATGAAAATTTTTGCCAGAAGAAAATTTGTCAACAAAACAAAAAACAAATATGTGAAAAAATAAATCAATTATTTTAAAAGTGAATTTCAAAAAAAGAAATAAATTATTCATATTAAGAGAAAATATTTAACATCGAAAAAATTCTTCACCTGGAAAATAATTTTCACTGGCACAGCGATATGTTTCACTAAAATAGCGAAAGTTTTCACTATACCAGAGAAATATATCGCTGTTTCAAACATATATTTTTTCTGTCAACGAAAATCAATTTTACAAAATTATTTTTTTTAATAAAAAAATCTTCAATTTTGAAATTTTTAATTAAAAATTGTCGATTTTTAGATCTAAATATTTAATACGTGACAATTTTTGAAAATTGTAATTTAAATTGAGATTCTTTTGAGTATGTTTGATTCCGGTTTGAATGTCACAACGACTTTCGTATTCTTGCGAAACGAGAATATAATATTCGAAGCTGAACTGTCACGTTAAACGAATGATTCGCAAGTGAATGTATTCACTGGGAAAATTCAAAGCAAATTGACCGAATAGGAACTGAATATAAATATATATATATATTTAAAAAAAAATAATAATCTCTCTCACTGACAAAAAAAAAAGCAAGATGTTGTGACAGAAACATTATATATATATAAATAGCTGGAAAGAAAAAAAAATTTAACTAAAATCTTTCTTCTATTTTTAGAATTATTAATTTTTCAAACGGACTGAAGTACTTTATATATATTCATTTAAATATACAAAAAAAAAATTTTTTTTTGCGAAAATTTATATTAATATTAAATAACAAAATTTGTAATTTCAATATAAAATTTTGAAAAAAATTTTAATTATAGCGAACTGATTAAAAAAAAAAAGTTCAATTGCCCTTCCGATTCATTTAACACAAGATTTACGGTGAAGAAATATATTTTTTGTCAACAATTTTTTTTTTTTTTTTTTTAACGGACATGAATAAATATTTCTGTTTTTTTTGTCCATGTATTTAAATTAATTGGTTAAATTTTTTTTTAAAAAAATATTTACAAATTTCACCCTCGCTTTTCTTCACCGTTAATTTTGAAACATTGTTATTTTTATTTGTTGTTGATTATTGTAGCATTTAGTTGTGTAGATCGTATTCGAAAATTGCGGTGCTTTGAAAAGTGATTGGCATTTTCAGCACACAATATAAAAAAATAAATATATTTTTATAAACCAGAAAAATGTTGAGATTGTTTTTCCCCCCTCTTTTCATTTTTTTAGAAAATAAGCTTTTTTAGAAAAAAAAGATATTTTTGTTTCATTTAGTAAAATTTAACTTTCTAATTTTTTTTCTAAATAATAAAATAAGAGAATAAAATAATGAAATAATAAAATTAAAGAACAAAATAATAATAAAAAAAAAGAATTTCGACAAAAAAAAATTTTTTGATTTTTATTTCATTGATTTAATCATTTTTGAAATCATTTTACCAATTCCGGTAAAAATTTCACAAGAAGTTGCTGGACCATACATACACGCGGGTGTACTATAAACATTATATTGTTTGCAAAAAGTAACGCCATTCACATTTTTCTTTTCAATTTTGGCTCCCATTTTTTTTGCTTTTTGAATAGCAGCACCAAATGGCCATTTCTCAGGAGGACCTAAATTATGAAAATGCATTTTTTTTTACAGATTTTTAATTTTTTTCCAAATAAATTTTAATTTTCTTTTTGATTTTTTTTTTTTTTTTTTTTTTTTTGGTGGCAAAAAAATTGCAAATTTTTCACTCACCTTCATTGCCTAATGTTATTTTCACGCCCTCCAAAACTTTTGCAATTAATACAGGTGAAATGCAAATTGCACCAATTGGCTTTTTACAGCAGCAAAAATCTTCAATAAGTTTTTCCATCTCGGGCAAAATTATACAGTCACATCCATCAGATGCAAAATTACTTCTGAAAAAAAAACAAAAATTTTAAAAGGAAAATTAGATGAAATTTTTTGCAAAAAATTAAAAATAGTAATTTTTTTGAAACATAATTAAAATTTTTTCTAATTAAAAATAATAAAAATTTGAAAAAATTGAAAAAAATTTTGATAATTATTTTTTTTACAAAGTTTTAATTGCACCAAGTCCTCCTGGAATAATAAGACCCTCAACATTATGGGGTTTACATTCGGATAGTGGTTTTATTGATGATCGTGATATTCTTGCGGCCTCAATTAATGCATTTCTCGTTTCATTAACAATTTCACCTGAACAATGATTAATAACTTCACAAAGATTTTTGTCAGGTGCATAAAATTCAGTTTTAAATCCTTTTTGACTGCAATGAATTGCAACAGATACAGCTTCAGTGACTTCTGTTCCATCGAGACTACCGCAACCGCACAAGACCTCAAGAAAAAAAAAAAAAAAAAAAGGAGACATTAGGGTAATAATATCGCCACATTATGGAGGAAAGTGTATATGGAAAAAAGTGATTGTATCATAGCAAATTGAGAAGGGAAAGCGCTATATTATTCGATAAAACACATAAATATTGCCCGTTAACGAGCCAATGCTTACGAAGCAAAAATGTATACCTATACGATAATAAAAATAATGAGTATCTGCACCAATAGCCGTAATAAATACAACAACAACAACAACAACAACAAAAAAACCAATTGCTCTTCTGGAATTACATAATATTGTCTCGCGAGCAATTAAGATTGTATTGTAATTATAATCGTTTCAAAGACAGATAGTAATTCAATCATATATTATTCTATATATAAGAGAAAGGTTTCGATTATTACAGCAAATTAATATTTTTCCATTAATAAATTACTTTTTTTCTCTCTTATGATGAAAATTTATTTTTAATTCTACCTTTTATCTGTTCTTACATTTTTATTTTAATTAATTTTATATTTACAATTTTATAATTTCGCGCCAGTCCGTCCGTCCGTCCGTCGTACACGGTCACCGTTTCCATGGCAACAATTACTATGGCAAAAGTAACTATGGCAAAAGTAACTATGGCAAAAGTTAGTTTGGCAACAGTTACTTACTATGGCAAAAGTTACTTACTATGGCAAAAGTTACTATGGCAAAAGTTACTATGCGGCAAAAGTTACTATGGCAAAAGTTACTATGACAACAATTACTTACAATGGCAAAAGTTACTATGGCACAAGTTACTATGCGGCAAAAGTTACTATGGCAAAAGTTACTATGGCAACAATTACTTACAATGGCAAAAGTTACTATGGCACAAGTTACTATGGCAAAAGTTACTATGGCAAAAGTTACTTTGGCAACAGTTACTTACTATGGCAACAGTTACTTACTATGGCAAAAGTTACTATGGCAAAAGTAACTATGGCAAAAGTTACTATCGCAAAAGTTACTTTGGCAACAGTTACTTACTATGGCAACAGTTACTTACTATGGCAAAAGTTACTATGGCAAAAGTAACTATGGCAAAAGTTACTATCGCAAAAGTTACTTTGGCAACAGTTACTTACTATGGAAAAAGTTACTATGGCAACAGTTACTTACTATGGCAAAAGTTACTATGGCACAAATTACTATGGCAAAAGTTACTATGGCAACAATTACTTACAATGGCAAAAGTTACTATGGCACAAGTTACTATGGCAAAAGTTACTTTGGCAACTGTTACTTACTATGGCAAAAGTTACTATGGCAAAAGTAACTATGGCAAAAGTAACTATGGCAAAAGTAACTATGGCAAAAGTAATTATGGCAAAAGTTACTATCGCAAAAGTTACTTTGGCAACAGTTACTTACTATGGCAAAAGTTACTATGCGGCAAGAGTTACTATGGTAACAGTTACTTACTATGGCAAAAGTTACTATAGCAATAGTTACTATGGCAAAAGTTACTATGGCAATAGTTACTATGGCAAAAGTTACTTTGGCAAAAGTTACTATGGCAAAAGTTACTATGGCAAAAGTTACTTTGGCAACAGTTACTTACTATGGCAACAGTTACTTACTATGGCAAAAGTTACTATGGCAAAAGTAACTATGGCAAAAGTTACTATCGCAAAAGTTACTTTGGCAACAGTTACTTACTATGGCAAAAGTTACTATGGCAACAGTTACTTACTATGGCAAAAGTTACTATGGCACAAATTACTATGGCAAAATTTACTATGGCAACAATTACTTACAATGGCAAAAGTTACTATGGCACAAGTTACTATGGCAAAAGTTACTTTGGCAACTGTTACTTACTATGGCAAAAGTTACTATGGCAAAAGTAACTATGGCAAAAGTAATTATGGCAAAAGTTACTATCGCAAAAGTTACTTTGGCAACAGTTACTTACTATGGCAAAAGTTACTATGGCAAAAGTAACTATGGCAAAAGTTACTATCGCAAAAGTTACTTTGGCAACAGTTACTTACTATGGCAAAAGTTACTATGGCAACAGTTACTTACTATGGCAAAAGTTACTATGGCACAAATTACTATGGCAAAATTTACTATGGCAACAATTACTTACAATGGCAAAAGTTACTATGGCACAAGTTACTATGGCAAAAGTTACTTTGGCAACTGTTACTTACTATGGCAAAAGTTACTATGGCAAAAGTAACTATGGCAAAAGTAATTATGGCAAAAGTTACTATCGCAAAAGTTACTTTGGCAACAGTTACTATGGCAGCAGTTACTTACTATGGCAAAAGTTACTATGGCAAAAGTTACTTTGGCAAAAGTTACTATGGCAAAAGTTACTATGGCAAAAGTTACTTTGGCAAAAGTTACTATGGCAAAAGTTACTATGGCAAAAGTTACTTACTATGGCAAAAGATACTTTGGCAAAAGTTACTATGGCACAATAATGTAATTAATAAATTATTTATTAATATACAAATAACTGTTGATCTGAATGTAAAAAGCAACGTACCATAATATTTATATTAAATATTTAAATTTACAAAATGCTAAAATTTGTTAAATTAAAATTTTTTTTTAAAATAAGTATATTTTTAAATAATTGAATTTTGAATTGTTTAAAACAACTATTTATTGATGCAATTATTTATTGAAGCTATGAATTTATTTGTTTGAAGCTATAATTCATTTAAACAATTATTCAACAAATCTGTCATGCGTCTATATGAAGATTGTACACGAATGTGTTATAGAAAATATAAATGATGAATTGTTGGAAAATTGATGACTAATATGATTGAAGAAAATTAGTGAACTTTAATACTATAAAGGAACTGCAATAAATATATATAAGATTTAGCTTAATTATGATATTAATAAAGAAGATTAATGATTATAAGAATATTTTTTTTTCAAAATTCATATGAATATACGACTAATTATTATTATTTTCATTTCAAGAATATGTCAATTTATTTCTGAATAAGATAAATATTTTTGAATAAACGAAATAAATAAAAATAAAAGTGAAATAATTAAAATTAAAATTTACCACAGCTATAGATTTTGAATTATCTTCCGATGAATCTTTTTTACCCATTTTTAATATATTACAAATACTTGTCGTACGAAAACTATTCCATGGTGATAAATATAATTTTCTTGACTTTTGAATCATTATTGTTGATTGGAATTTTCTTAATAACATTTTTTTCAATTTGCTTTATTTTCACATCCAATGTCCAATTCGATAATATACGAAAGAAATTTTTAATTTTGCCAAACATTTGAAGTGAATTTTGTTTATTTTCATTTAAATTAATATAATTCGAAACGTAAACGATTTTAACATTATTATTTTTGGTTAAATGTCAATTTTTCTTTCAATTGTTTTTTTTTTTTTTGAAATATTTTTTCAAATATATAGATAACAATTTGAAAAAATTCGTATTTTTGAAAGAAAATAAATTTTTCTATTTATCAAAATTATTTTTTTTTTTTGCAAATAAATTTTAAAGTTAATAAAAATTAATGAAAATTATTTACTTTTTGCAAATAAATTTAAATTTTCCCATAGGTAACTATGGCATGAAAATAATTTACCACTAAGAGATAAGGTAGATTTCTTTTCACTAACGTCGATAATATTAAAAGGGGGAAATATTTCTCAAATCGTCCACAAGAGGTCAGAAGCTACCACTACGCCAACAAGAACTCCTATTGGTAACGAGAGGAACTAACTATTTTTCAAACTCTGCGGATAATTCAAACTTTGTTAAGACTAAAAAATGTCTTTTTTTTTTTTATTTTTCCAACTTTTCTCCTCGAATAAACTCATAAACTAGTGAAGAGAGAGAGAGAGAGAAAAAAAGAGAGAAAAAGAGAGTCGTAACACAGGGCGTCTCCACCGCTTAAATAAACATCGGCATGGTAGCTTCAACTTACTTTATGGCTCGTAACCTTTATTGTGCACTAGGAGCAATTTTTGCTCAGGCTATGAATACGAAACACATAATGCAAAAGGGTGGTTTTGTGAGATTTAAGAGTTCAAGTAACGATTTTATAAATTCACACAAAATGAAAAACTAAACAATTTATTGAAAAATCAAAATGTCGAACAAAAATGAATTTCCGCCTTTATTAATGACTTATTGTGTATTCGAAATTTTTTAAAATTTGTTTCACTATTTTTATGTTTAATAAAAAGTAAATTTTACTTTTTTTAAAAGTACTTTCTTTCCATTAAAAATTACAGTTTTACTTTGTTTCAAAATTACATTTTTACACGCAATTATTATGAATATAAATATAGTAATTTAATTTAATGATGTAATTAATTAATTTTGCCTAACCTAATACTGACTACAACTACTGTTATTAAAAATGAAAGAAATTACAAAAAATAAAACTGCTTTGTCTGCCTTAAATTGACTTTTTCCATTAACACTGAAATAACAATAATTAAAATTCGTTATGTCTGACTTAAACAAGTTTTTACTACTGAGATTATTTACAATAATAATTAAAATAGAAAATTTTTTTCGTCTGACTAAAACTATTTTTTACTACTGATACTTAATGTAGAAGAAGTTAACATATTTTGTCTGATTAAAATTGTATTGTACTACTGATATTATTTTTCAGAAAATTCTTATTATTGTCTGACTGAAACTGTATTTTACTACTTATACGAATTTTACAATAAAAAAAAAATTATTCACTCGCACTTACCGCTAATTATGCTAATTTTACAAGAATTTTTTGTATTGTCTGATTAAAATTTAGTTAATGATTTAGTTAATATTTTCTATTTTGTATTGTTACTTACGTAACTATTAGAATTTAGGAGTACTTTTGTACGAAAGGGCATGTCCCGTTAATAAATGAAATTGAAATTGAAAATTGAAAATTGCCCTATGTCACTGAAACCGACTTAAAGTAGAGAAAAAAAATTAAACTAACAATTTGTTTGACTAAAATTTTTTTGTACTACTAATATTACTTTTTATACTCTTAATTTGAGTCTGACTAAAACTGTATTTCCCTAATGATTTCTGATATAAAAATTAAAAAAATATCTCACTTTTGATAATATTACAAGATTTTTTTATTGTCTGATTAAAATTACTTATTACTACTGATATTAAATTAAAATAAAAAAATTAACTTTTAGTTTGACTAAAACTATCTTTTACTACTGTTACTTAACATACCAAAAGTTCAAAATGTTTGTCCACTCAGAAAAAAATTCGTTTGAAGCAACCAAATTTTTGTTAAATCAACAAAATAAATGCATTGATATACAGTTAACCAAACATTTGGTTGCATAAACCAAACGTTTATTTAGCTGAATCAAATTTTTTCTTTGTTAAAAAAATTTATTAAAATAAACCAAACAGTTATTTAGATCAAATAAATATTTATTTGAATTAAACAAATTTTCTTTGAACTAACCAAAAAATTGAGTAAATATAAAAAAATGGTACATTTTGTTCAAACATATCTTTTTTCTGAGTGTCTAACTAAAATTATTTTATACTACTTATACTGTAAAAAATATAAACAGTCGTGTCTGGCTTCAAGTAGCTTTTACTACTGATTTTTATTTCAAATGTCATTCAAAATTTTAATGTCTGACTATAAAAATGAAACTACTAACACTATCTTTCACTACTGACAGTTAAAAAAAGTCACTACGATTTTTGTCTAACTAAAACAGTATATTACTACTGATGCGAAAGAAATATTTTTCTAGTTTTAAGTAGTAAAGGTCAATTTCAGTCAGACAGAATTTTTTTCCGAATTCTATTGAATTCCGCACAAGTAGAAAAATTCAGTTTCGGTCAGACGACTTTTTTTTCTGAGTTGACTTCCTCACAAGTAGAAAACTCAACTTCGGTCAGTCATGTTTTTTTTCTCAATTCTATTGAATTTTACACAGTAGGAAAAATCTGTTTTAATCAGACAAGTTTTTTTCTCAATTCCATCGAATTTCACACAAGTAGAAAAAACCTGTTTTAGTCAGACACATTTTGTCTAAAATTTCACCCAAGTAGAAAATTCTGTTTTAGTCAGACAAATGTTCTTTTCTGAGTTTTTTAAAAATTTTGCACAAGTAGAAAAAGTCAGTTTCAATCAGACAGTTAAATATATAAATTCATGTAATTTTTTTTATTGATATATTAAAAATAACTTTAAGCAGGAAATTTTTTTTCAGTAAATTATCGTTTAAGAGAAAATTAAAATTAATTTTTAAGAAAAACTAATTTATAAAAATATTACTTTCTGAACAGAAATCTAGATTTTTATTTACTGTGCAATTTTCAGTAGTAATACAAAACAATGTTTATAAAATACATCAACTTAATAATTTATTTTCAACAAAAATTTTGAAATAAATTCCTTATTTATGAGTTTTAGAGAAAAAATAGTATACGTCAAAATAAAAATATGTATATAGTATAAAAAACATTAAAGTTTGTCTATTGTTGATTTTTACAAAGTTTTTGGAATATATATAGATATATATATATATATAAATATATATATTTTGACAAAATGAAATCATCGAGAATATGTGTGCGGTTCAAATCGGAGGCGTTGGCTCTCGTCGAAAGGCCGAAACTGCCGGTGTTGCGGAATTACTCGTCCGGGTCTAGTCCCAAAGGACTGAACTTGTCCGCGACAATTTCAAACTTATTTTAACATTCATATAAGCCCCCGTCTACTACTCTCTCTCTCTCTCTCTCTCTCTCTCTCTCTTACTCTCTCTCACTCTCTACTGAAATCATCCATGTGTCCCTATACTACTCCGCGGGCGTAACCCGAACCCAGAAAGCCAAGTCCTTGCTCGTTTCTATATCCTTGCTGCGTGCTATAAGGGCGTGTATGAGCATAAGGGTGTGACGTGTACGATTTACATAAGATTATACGAAGCGTTTCTCGTTACTTCGTCGAAGGGATTGAAAGGAGGTGACACTGCCTTGGTATGACACTCTTGGGCGCTCTATAGTCCTTGGTTAATTAGATCGAAGTGAGATTTTGCAATATATAACTTACACCCATATATGTATATATTCAAATTTACCTTCTTTTCATATAACTTATAAAAGTGGGGTAAAAAAAAAAAATTTTCTCCTTGTCAACAAGAAAAGAAAGAAGTTTTTTTTTATTTTTTATGCCAGTAGTAAAAGATATTTTTGATCAGACTAAACAGTTTTTCTATTTTTGAATATCAGTGATAACAGACAATTTTAGTTAGACGAATAATGTCTCTTTTTTATTTTAAGTTTCAGTAGTAAAAAAAAGTTTTAGTCAAACTATTTCAATTTTTTTTATTTTAAGAAAGTTTTAGTAGTAAAAGAGATTTTTAAACAGACAGTAAGCAAACAAATGAGAGAATTATAGTAATTACACTGTAAAAAGAAAGTACTAAAATAGTACCGATTTTAGGTATCAAAATAGAACCAAATGACAATTTAGTACCTACAGTCGGTATTAAATTAATACCTTTCGTTTTACAGTGTATAGTATTAGAATCAGTAGTAAAGTTCCGTTTTCGTCAGACAAAAAATTACAAGAATTCTGTTGAAAATAATATAAGTAGTATATTCGAATCAGTACTCTCTAAATCTGAATCAGCGAAATCCCACTGATTCTCAGTGAATAGTCACTGATTGAAATAGCTATAAGTATACCACTGGGAATCAGTGGAATTTCACTGTTTCAATCAGCGAGGAATTATTTCACTGATTTAAACAGTGAAAGTTCGCTGATCTAATTAGTAGTTTTTCACTGATTTTTCAGTGAATTAAATATTTCTTAGTTTTTTCTGTGTCAAAAGATAAAATATTAGTTTAATGAAAAATATTATATTTATTGAAACACGTACATCAATTAGGAAAACTGAACATTATTTAGTAATTATTCGTAAATTAATATTAGGAAAACGTAAGTTTGAAACGTAGAATAAAAACACAAAAATATAAAAAATGAAACATCCATTGAAAATAAATAGAAAACACATTAATCGAAGTTTCAATGACTTGTTTGATAAACTATAAAACTAATTTGACGATTCTTCGTTGATAACGTTGCACACATTGATGTGCATCGATGTAACTACACTGCGAGTTCCCGTGTGAAGATCATAAACATAATTTTCAATGAAATTATAGAAAATTTCAAATTTTAGAAGGTTTGTGTAAAAAGATTTAACTAAAATCTTTTTACACAAACCTTCTAAAATTTGAAATATTTCCTCTGGAATATTATTGTCCCTTAACTTGGTGTACAATTCTAAGGGCAATGTAGATATATTCGATAAATCCATCTTATTGAAATTATTGCTGATTCCGAGTAAAAGTGTAATCTACAAAATACAAAGCAGAAGTAATTAAAGGGAAAATCAATTGTCGGTATAGTTAAAATTATGCGCAAAAATAGTGATAAATATTAATATCGCATGAAAAATATAAGTGAGGTTATGTTTCGTGTCAAACGAAAACGAATTAGTTTTCAAATGATAATTTGAACAATTTATGAATTTTATATAATCGAAACCATCTATAAAACAAAGAAAATTTAATTAATTAATTATAATCATTACGTATTTTGTTAAATTTATTATAAAATAGTTAAAAATAACACTGTATAAACCAAAGTAATCTTTGATCAAATTTTGATATAAATTCAACTACTGTATATGAACTTATGATCCAGAAGGTAAATAATAGTGTATAATATGTACTTACTAAGTATTTAAACAATTTTTTCACTTAAAAAACGCAAATGTTGATATAACTTTTAACCTAACTTGCCCAGATTTCTCTTGCACCAAATGACGCTCTGAAATTTACTGCGTCGGCGCAGAAGCAACTTCAGTAAAGTCACTGTTTCGTCAGTGATAGTCGCTGATTCTCAGTGAAAATCTTTGTCACTGAGAAAATCAGCGAAATTTTCACTGATTCAGATTTAGAGAGTAGTAAAACAGTGTTTCAGTCAGTGCAAAAATTACGAGGATTCTATGGAAACACAGAAAATTATAAGGTATTAAAATAAAATGCAATGCCTATTATTTTAATCCAATTTTGCTTATTTTAATACCAAAATGGATTAAAATAAGCAAATTTGAATGAAAATAATAAGCGTTGCAGCTTATTTTAATGCCTTTTAATTTTCTGTGAAATAATATCAGTAGTAGAAAGCAATTTTAGTCAGACTAGTTTTGCCAAGTTTTTCTATTTTATGTTTAAGTAGTGAAAGACAGTTTTAGTCAGACTAATCTTTTCAATTTTTTTATTTTAAGAACTTATCAGTAGTAGAAGACATTTTTAATCAGACAGTAAGCAAAAAAATTAATATCAGCGTAAGTGAGATGCAATAATATTTTTGTAATTTTTACAATATCAGTACTATAATTCCGTTTCAGTCAGACAAATTGCAATGTCAGACAAAAAATTACAAGGATTCTATTGAAATTAATATAAGTAGTAAAAAGAAATTCAAGTCAGACAAATTATGTTATTTACCTTTATGTTCAGTTTCAGTAGTAAAATACAGTTTTAGTCAGACTGATGACATTTATTTTTTCTACTTTAAGTATCACGCAATGTGAGAAATATTCGAATCAGTAGTGAAATACATTTTTAGTCAGACTACAATTACAAGGATTCTAATTAAAATAACATAAGTAGTATAAAACAAATTTAGTCAGACAAAGCTTTGATAAATTCTAGTATCTTTAATATCAGTAGTAAAAGTTAAGTATAGTCAGACTAAACATATTAATTTTTGTTCTATTTAAAGTTGGTATCAGTGGTAAAAGATAATTTTAGTCAGACAATATGCAAAAAATCTTGTAATATTAATATCGGTTGTAAAAGGGATGCAAATCATTTTTTTTTTAAATTTTAATAATTTTCAAATCAGTAGTGAAATACAGTTTTAATAAGACCTAAATTAAGAGAATTCTAGTGTAAACAATGTCAGCAGAGAAAATTTAAAGGGCATTAAAATAAGCTACAACGCTTATTATTTTAATCTAATTTTGCTTATTTTAATCCATTTTGGTATTAAAATAAGGGAAAATTGGATTAAAATAATAAGCGTTGCAGCTTATTTTAATGCCTCTTAATTTTCTCTAAGTAGTCAAAAACAGTTTTAGTCAGACAAATTGTTTTTTGTCGTATTTTTTTCGTGTCAGTATAAAAAAAAGTCAGACTAAATATATTAATTTTTTTTTTCTATTAAAATTTTGTTATCAATGGTAAAGTATATTTTTAGTCAGACAATAGTTTAAAATTCTTGAAAAAATTAGCACAATTTAAAAAAATTGTAGTCAATCATTATAAAAATTTCTATAATATTCGAATTAGTAGTAACATATTATTTTAGTCAGACAATTTGCAAAAATTCGTACAATAATTGTTATCATCACGTGACTGAAGATTTCCTGCGACAGATTTGCTTCTCTCTCTCTCTCTCTCTCTCTGTCTATCTCTTTGTCTCGCTCTCGTCATGCTGTTAAAGTTTCTTACGTATAAGGAACGAACAGATTTGGAAATCACGAGTTTCGCCTTGACTTCTAGTTAGATTTTGTTGAGGGGTTCACTCGCGGAATTTGTCGGCAGATTGTGGCGTTTCAAGTAAATGTGATGTGATGCAAGTAATTGAGTGGCTAATTGAATGAGGTGTCTCTCAGGAGTCCCTCCACAATTCGCCGTGTCACACGTCAGAACTCTGTTGCGTTTTCGGCGCGCTTCAGGGACACAAGGCAAACTTCATATGTATATAGTACATACAGTTTACAGATGATCGTTCATCGTATGCATACAAATTATTATTATTATTATTATTATTTTTAATATCCTTATTTATTTTTTTTAACAAATCAGTTATACTATTTTTTGTATGGCCACTGTATAGATGAACTATACCAAAACTAGCACAGAAACTATTTAGAAACTACAAAGAAACTATACAGAAACTATTTAGAAACAAACACAAAAACTATACAGAAACTATTCTGAAACTATACTAATATAAATAGAGAAACTATTTAGAAACAAGTACAAAAACTATACTGAAACTATTCTGAAACTATACTGATATAAATAGAGAAACTATTTAGAAACAAATACAAAAACTATACTGAAACTATTCTAAAACTATACTTATATAAATAGAGAAACTATTCAGAAACAATACAGAAGCAAATACAAAAATTATTGAGAAACTATGGTGAAACTATACTGAAACAAGTACAGAAACTATTCATAAACTCTGCAGAAACTATACAGAGACTATACAGAAACAAATACTGAAACTATTCATAAACTATATAGAAACTGTACAGAGACTATGCAGAAACAAATACAGAAACTATTTAGAAACTGTACAGAAACTATAGCGAAACAAATATAAAAACTATACAGAAACTATTCTGAAACTATACTGATATAAATAGATAAACTATTTAGAAACAATACAAAAGCAAATACAAAAATTATTGAGAAACTATAATGAAACTATACTGAAACAAGTACAGAAACTATTCATAAACTCTGCAGAAACTATACAGAGACTATACAGAAACAAATACAGAAACAAATACAGAAACAAATACAGAAACTATTTAGAAACTGTACAGAAACTATTGCGAAACAAATACAAAAACTATACAGAAACTATTCTGAAACTATACAGTAACTATACAGAAACTATACTGTATCTACTGATTATTTAGAAATTTCAAGACATTTTTTTTAAATATTTTTTTAAATGTTTTTCTTTTTTTAATGTTAAAAAATTTTGAAACTTTATAATAGTAGAATAGTAATTTATCATATGTTGAACGAAATAAAAATAAAATAAAAAAAATTATCATTTTCTAAATACGAATTGCATGAATAGCTAGCGATTTAATCTGACGGGTTTTGCTAGTCATTAATAATCTATTTCTTATTGGTTGAATCTATGTTGAAATATTTTGAAGGGAAAAAGAACCATTTGTCAACTGTTTGTGAATCCGCCGATGATTGAACTGGAAAAACTTTAATAATTTATTATTTCTCTAACCCAGTTAAAGAGGAAACAAAAAAAAAAGAAAAAAAAAAAAATTTCTCTACATTTATATCCAATCGAAATAAAGTTTAAAATTATACATACATTTATGAAGCGAAGTCAATGTACACTTGGTACAAATAGATAAGATAAATTGTAAATCATTGTAATTTATTATTCAAAAACAAATAACAGTTATTTTTAAATTATTTTTTTTTATCAATTTCTTCGACGTTAAAACGTTTATTCTGTATTGTTTTTTTTTTGTGACAGTTTGTTGGAAATTTTTTCGTATTACTTTTTTTGATAAATATAATTTACTAGAAACAAAATAAAAATTATTTTTTTAAATTAAATATAATTTATTTCAAAAATGGAATATTTGGGATTTTTTATTATTTGCTTCATGTGTTGTTCATTGATAAATTGTGATCAATTGGTGAAAATAAATCAAGGATTAATTAAGGGAACAACAATGAGAACACGAAATGGAAGAGAAATTTCCATTTTTCTTGGAATACCGTATGCCGAACCACCAATTGGAAAATTAAGGTATAATTATATATTTAAATTACACTTATTGCGAAAAAAAAAATTTTTTTTTATCAAAACAAAATCTTGAACTATTTCAAAAAATTGAAATATATCCTTACTTTTAGATTTAGTAATCCAATTCTGGCAAAAAATTGGAATGGATTACGTTTAGCGAATAGAGAAGGAAATTTTTGTCCTCAAATTGAAGTTGAAGGATTAATTGGCGAAGAAGACTGTCTGTATTTAAATGTTTTTACACCTATTTTAAATTTTAATAAATCTAAGGTATGCGTTTAAACAGAAAATCGTAAATTAGAATTAAAAATTTTTTTTTTTATATTTATTAATTTTTAAATTTATATAATTATTTAAAAATGATAATTAGATTAAAAAATAGATTAAAATAAAATTACAATAAATATAATATAATATAAAATGCAAAATAGAAAATAAATTGTAGAAATTTGAATATAATTAACGAATTAAAAAAAAAATTGAAAATTTTAAATTTATAGAATATCAATAAAAATGATTTATTGCCAGTTATGGTAAGAATTCATGGCGGAGGATTTCTTGTTGGAAGTAGTAATTTCACATACTATGGTCCAAATTATCTTTTAGATAAGAACATTATTCTTGTATCAATAAATTATCGTTTAGGAATTTTAGGATTTTTTGCTACAAAAGATTCCATAGTTTCTGGTAATTTTGGATTAAAAGATCAAGTTCTTGCTCTTAAATGGGTTAAAAGAAATATTAAATATTTTGGCGGCGATCCAAATAGAGTTACTTTATTTGGAGAAAGTGCAGGTGGTGCTTGTGTTGGTTTACATGCAATTTCCGATGCATCCAATGGTAATTAATGAAGCAATAAAAATTAATTATAAAAATAATCGAATTTTTTTTTAATGCTTTTATTAATTTTATGAATTAACTATAAATTATAAACTGTAAATTATAAACTGTAAATTATAAACTATAAATTATAAACTATAAATTATAAACTGTAAATTATTTATTTAAATCGAATTTTAAAAAGCAATTTTTTTTTAATTACAGATTTATTTCATCAATACATTTTCCAAAGTGGCAGTGCATTGGGACCATGGGCTTTTCGTAATAGAAGAAATTTAGATCCATATGTAAATGAACTTATTAAAAATGTAAATTGTCCAAATATCAATAATTCGACAATAATTGTCAATTGTTTGAGAGAGAAAAGTATTTTTAAATTATTAAATGCCGTGCCATATGATGGTTTTAATTTTTCCAAATTAGCATGGATTCCAACTAATGAAATAAAAACAAAAGATGCTTTTCTAATTGATAGTCCTGAGAATCTTATAAAATTGAATAAATTAAAAGATTTACCATCAATGAGCGGAAATGTTGGCGACGAAGGTTTACCAGTTACATTATGTAAGTCAATTTTTTTAAATTTTCAAATTTTTTTGTAATTTCCAAAAAAAATGAATATAATTTGTAAAAAATTTTAATAAAATAATTTTTTTTCAATTTTAATATCATTGATCGAATTTTTTTTTAATAATAAAAATAATTATTAATTTCAGCGTTTTACAAAAATCAAACAAATTATTATCAGACAATGTTATTGGCACTGGATAAATATATTAATTCGACAGCATATCATTATATGAAACCGAATAATGTAACAAAATTTTCAAGAATTATTCATAATTTTTATTTTAACGAAACAGTTGTAGCTGATAAAAACAAAGTATTTTTTTAATTCAATTTATTTTACACAAATTATTATTATTATTATTATTATTTCTTAATTTTTAAATTTTTTGCCTCTATGTTTTTAGATTCTAAGAAGTTTTACAAATTTTGTTTCCGATTGTCGATTTATCTATCCTCAAATGATGCTGATGGAGAAAATGAAAAAAATCATTAAGAGTCCATTTTATATTTATTCATTTAATTATCGTGGTAATGAAAGTGTGGTTTCTTTGGAAAATGGAATAAAAGGAAATATTGGCGTCACACATGGAGAAGAACTTTTATATCATTTTCCTAGAATTCCATTAAGTGAAACGGCAAAAGTAGATCAACGAATGATCGATATAATGGTCGATTTATGGACATCATTTGCCATTAGCGGGTAATTATTTAATTGTCAAAAAAAAATTTATATAATGAATTTTTTTTTATTTACAAATATAATAATTTCAATTCCAGTAAACCATCATCTGATCATTTAAGCAATAGCGATCTTTGGCAATCTTATGTGGAAAATGAAAATTTTCTTCAAATCGGAAATCCTATCAATAATAACGATCCGTCCATTACTCTCAGCCAGGATTTTTTTAACGATCGTATGGATTTTTGGAAAATAAATTTCCCTTCGGACTAATTTTTTTATATATATTTTATATTTAATTATGTAGATCTATGACTTATTTATAAATATTTAATAAAAAAGCTTCGGTTACAGTCATAGAAAACAGGAGATATTCAGTCTGACTAAAAATATGTTTTACCACTGATACCAACTTTAAATAAAACAAAATTTAATATGTTTAGTCTGACTTTAACTAACTTTTACTACTGATATTAAAAATACTAGAATTTATCAAAGCTTTGTCTGATTAAATTTGTTTTATACTACTGATACTGAAATTAAAAATAATATTAACAAAAGTGTCTGACATTAATTAGTATTTACTACTGTTAATTAATTATTAATTAATATTTACTAATTGTAACTATAATAAAAAAACGACCAAAAAACAATTTGTCTGACTAAAAATATTTTGTACTACTTATATTATTTGCACGAAAATCCTTGTAACTTTGCCTTTTATACTACTATCACGAAAAAATTCAATTTGTCTGACTAAAATTAGCAAATTACCAAATTACTTTGGTACTACTGATATTATTTTTACTAGAATCCTTGTTATTTTTGTCTGACTAAAACGGATTTTTACTACTGATACCTACATAAAAAAGAAAAAATTGAAATATTTGGTCTGATTAAAAATATCCTTTAGTACTGAAACTTAAAATAGGAAAAGTTGTTACAATTTGTAATTTTTTTTTGTCGACAGTAACGGTATTTTACTACTATTTTGAATATTTTATAGTAATTAAAAATGAATTTTAATTCTTAATTACTAATTTGAATTGTATAATAATTAAAAATGAGAATTTACATCTTATGTTTGTTGCTTTTGCTAGTATTATAAAGAATTGTCGCGTATTTGGTTTGACTAAAACGGAATTTTACTACTTATATCTACTTGAAATAGAAAAAAAAAAATTTGGTCTGACTAAAAATATTTTTTACTACTGAAACTTAAAATAGAAGAAGTTGATACAATTTGTTTCACTAAAATTGTTTTCTACTACTGATATTATTTTCACTAGAATTTCCTAATTTAGGTCTTATTGAAACTGTATTTCACTTCTGATTCTAATATTATTAAAATTAAAAAAAAATGATTTGCATCTCTTTTTCCACCGATAATAATATTACAAAAATTTTTGCATATTGTCTGACAAAAAATAGCTTTTACCACTGCTACCAACTTTAAATAAAACGAAAATTAATATGTTTAGTCTGAGTATAACTAACTTTCACTACTGATATTAAAGATACTAAAAGTTAACAAGGCTTTGTCTGACTAAATTTGTTTTATACTACTTATATTATTTTACCTAGAATCCTTGTAATTTTAGTCTGACTAAAAATGTATTTCACTACTGATTCGAATGTTTCTCACATTGCGAGATACTTAAAGTAGAAAAATTAATGTCTTCAGTCTGACTAAAATTGTATTTTACTACTGAAATTGAACATAAAGGTAATTAACATAATATGTCTGACTTAAATTTCTTTTACTACTTATATTATTTTCAATAGAATCCTTGTAATTTTTTGACTCACCGTAACGGAATTCTACTGCTGATATTGTAAATATTACAAAAATATTATTGCATCTCACTTACGATAATATTAATTTGTTAGCTTACTGTTTGATTAAAAATATCTTCTAAAACTGATAATTTCTTAAAATATAAAAATTGAAATGCTTGGTTTGACTAAAACTGTCTTTTCTACTTAAAAACATAAAATAGAAAAATCTTGATAAAACTTGTCTGACTAAAATTTGCTTCTACTACTGTTATTATTTTCTATAGTATCCTTGTAATTCTTTGTCTGACTGAAACGGTGTTTTACTACTGATTCGAATATTAAATGTTTGTTTTAAAAATTTGATTACTTTTCACTAATGTTATTTTTCAAATTTTTTGGGTACTGTCTGATTAAAAATGTCATTTACTACTGATACCTTTTTAAAATAATTTTGTTTAAATGTTCAGTCTGACTAAAACTATCTTTTACTACTTGAAACTTTAAAATATATAAAACTTGACAAAACTTGTCTGACTAAAATTGCCTTCTACTACTGATATTATTTTCCATAAAATTCTTGCAATTTTTTTTGTCTGACTGAAATGGTATTTTACTACTGATTCGAATATTAAAAAAATTTGGAATAAATATCACTAATGCTAATAGTAAATTTGCTTTGCTTTCTGTCTGACTAAAAATGTCTTTTACTACTGAAACTTAAAATAGAAAAACTTGACACAACTTGTCTGCCTAAAATTATTTTTTACTACTAATATTATTTCCAATAGAATTCTTGTAATTTTTTGTCTCACTAAAACGGTATTTTACTACTAATTTAAATATTATAAAAGTAAAAACCTAATTTTAACTAATGACACAAAAAAAATAAAAAGGTAAAAAAAAATTGTCATAAAAATACAATTTCAATAATCACTGTGTGTTCTGCCCCACTTGGAAAGATTCCCCGGAAAGTGCCCCCTGGAGGTTCTATCAGCATTCCGCCGGAACTTCCAACGTAATTCCGTCGGAATTCCATCGGAGTTCCAAAGAATTTCCGATGGGATTCCGACAGAGTTCCGACGGAATTCTGACGGAATTCCGACGGAATTAGGACTCTAAACAATTTTGAAAAAATTAATCGGAATTCCGTCAGAATTTCGTCGGAATCCCATAGGAAATTCTTTGGAACTCCGATGGAATTCCGACAGAATTACGTTGGAAGTTCCGGCGGAATTTTTTTCGGGGAATTTTTCCAAGTGGGGCAATAATCTACCGTAGAGAAAAATAATAATAATCACACAAAGAGGATTTCTGATTTTCCGTGAAAATGTCTCCTTAAACGAATTCAGCCAAGTGGAAAAAAAAAAGAAGAAGAAAAAAAATCTAAGGAAAATGGGTCCAAGGAGAAAATGGTATTGCAGATCAGTGTAGTGGGGTTGATGGTAGGGGGATTGGTTTGGGGGGATGTTTAAGCATTCTTGGTGCGAAGGCAATCGCAGGGTTGGTGGATGTGTTGGCAGAAGTGGTAGATGCCAGTGAGAAACAGACAAGAGAACAATTACGCGCCGTCAGCCCCGTGACCGGTAGGGTGCTGCGAGGTGAATCAAAACTAGGTACACGTTCATTCTCCCGTAGGAATAGATTCGAATCTCGATCGGTAAGCACAACGATACGTCGTTGCCTGCATTTCAAAGACAAATTAATACGATTTACAAGTCATGTTTCGCTTCTTCTTCTTTTTTATTTATTTATTTATTTCTATTATTCTCCCGTCGCATTGTATCTCGCGAATTTTACAGTTTATTATTGTAATAAAGAAAGCAAAATTATTATTATTATTGATTTTATTTATTATTATTTTTAATTTATTATATTATTTTATTATTTAAATGGTGTACTTTTAATGGAAAATAATTAAAATATGAAAAAAAAAAATAATTACAAGCTCGTTAAATGGTAAAATTTTCTATTTACAATAAATTTATCACCAAAGTATTATTCCTCGGAAATTGTCAATTTCACCTTTCTGTATATATATATATATATACATATATGCAGAATATAACGAGCACGTATGGAATTGCCACGATAATCATAGGTCCGAAGCAGAACATGGCGCAATCATGTTACATTATGCGTAACGTGTACCTGGTACATATATGTATATATAGTATATCTATATAAAGCACCGAGTTCAGCTTGATTAATTATTAACTATACAATTATTACATACTACATCATCAATCATTTTTCATATTTTATCTAAATAAATAATTCCCTCACAAATATTTTCTAAATCAAATAAAGTAAATTTTATTTTATTATTTTTGTAATTATAATTAAAATTTTCTTTATAAAAAATTTATATTTGATGATTGAAAAAGAAAAATTGTAATTATACCAAAAAAAAGAAAAAACGTATGGTAAAACAGTTGGTCGCGGTTGAAGTAGAAGTTTTTAGATAGAGGGAAAGGTTTGAAAAGAAGGAGGAGGGGGGGCGGAGGTTGAGGGTACTGAGGGGTCGGGAGTTGATAAAGAAATAAAGAATCGTGAAAGTTCGCGTCGAACCATGGACTCCCGGGAGGCCTTATGACTTAAACTCTCCTTACTCCGTTAATTCCGAACATTAACAAAAGTCTCGCTAAAACTCGCCGCCAACTTTGCTCGGTGTCCTCTTGGGGACAGCCGACTTGTTAATGAAAAAAATACAATAAAACTTTCTCGCGAGCCTTGTTCCAAGCTTACTGCTTTTCGCATCAAACTAAACTTGCGACTCTTTGCACTTCAATACATACATACATATATATATATATATATATATATATATATATATATATATATATATATATATATATATCTTTGGCCCTCACTAGAATTTCAGACTTTTCAAAAAAAAGAGAAAAAAAATTTAAATTTAATATATTAAAATAAATATTAATCAATACTAATTTCGTAATTTTTAATTATAATTCAATTTTTTTGATTAATAATACTTCAACTGTTTTGTATATTGGAAATAAAATGAAATTTTATTTTTACACCTTTAAATAAAATATTATTTACAGACGTGTAAAAATAAAAAAATATACGTAGGAAGTTTATTTCAATAGGGGAAAAAAGTGTATTTTCACTGACACCAAAAAAAAAAGGGAAAATATGCATGGTAGTTTAGTTTCAAGGGTAGGTTCTTTTTGCCTTAATTCTTAAGTAGCTGGTATAAACTAGAATGTCTTTTCTTTATCCATCCACGCTCATTTCAACGAGACCTTTTTTTCTTCTTCATTTATCCATTTTTCAAGAAGAAACAAAAAATTTTTTGTCCCCTTTTTTTAAAAAAAATATTCAAAATTGTAGATTCAAATTACAATTTATTTAATACAAATTGGGCATTCTTTGTCAAAAAGATACACCCTCTGCCCAGAATAGATTTAATTTTTAAAAAAAGCTATAAATCAGCTTAAATTACAGGAAATTTTGTCTATTTTTGGATGAACGGTTTTTCATATAAGGTTAAAATTTATTTTTTTAAATAAATATCAATTACCGGCATAGAAATCTACATTACCAACAGATGGAAAAAACATGAAAAATGATATATTAAAAATTTATTTTTTTAAAATAAAAATCGATTACCGGCATAGAAATCTACATTACCAACAGATGGAAAAAACAGGTAAAATGATATATAAAAAT